CGAAGGACCCAGTGGCTGCGTTCGCATTACGCCCCTCCCCCCCTCACTTTGGCACACCCCTCACACGTTTTGTGGCCCCATAGGGAACTCCACCAAAGGCCCCAGTGGCGTTGTCGGCATGCGCTTCCTCCACCCAGCACAGCGCTTCGTGGCCCCATTTGGGGCCTGTACCGAAGCTTCCGTGATGGTGTCCGCATGCGTTTCCCCCACCCAGTACAGCGCTTCGTGACTCCATATGAAGCTCGACCGAAAGCCCCAGTGGCGGTGTCCGCATGCGCGTCCCCCACCCAGTACAGCGTTTCGTGGCCCCATCGGGAGCTCCACCGAAAACCCCCGTGGCGGTGTCTGCATGCGTTTCTCCTACCCAGTACAACATTTCGTGACCCCATAGGGAGCTCCACCGAAGGCCCCAGTGGCGGTGTCCGCATGCGTCTCCCTCACCCAGTGCAGCGTTTCGCGGCCCCATGGGGAGCTCCACTAAAGGCCCCAGTGGCGTTGTCCGCATGCGTTTCCCCCGCCCAGTACAGCGTTTCGTGGCCTCATAGGGGGCTCCACCGAAGGCCCCAGTGGCGGTGTTCGCGTGCGTCTCTCCCACGCAGTACAGCGCTTCGTGGCCCCATAGGGGGCTCCATCGAAGGCCTCAGTGGCGGTGTTCGTATGCGTCTCCCCCGCTCAGTTTAGCGTCGCGTGGCCCCACATGGAGCTCCACCGAAGGCCCCAGTGGCTGCGCCCGCATGCGTCCCCACCTCATTTCGGCACACCCCTCACCCTTTTCGTTGCCCAATATTGAGCGCCACCGAAGGCCCCAATGGCTTCGCCCGCATGCGTCCCCGCCCCCCAGAGATCCACCGACGGCGATGCCCACAACGGCGATACTAACAACTGCATATGGTTGGGCCCTTCACCAGGATAATTTTGTGGCTGGCCACAACTTTGGTCCCCCCCGGTCGGCGTCGTCTACGTCATCGTCGTCGTCGTCGTCGTCGTCGTCGTCGTCGTCGTCGTCGTCGTCGTCGTTCCCCTCCTTGTCCTCATCCCCCCAGGGTGTGTGCGATTTACCCTTCCACCCCTTCCTCGCGTCTTCGCGGCCCAAGACGGAACAACATAAAATTGATATGCGCAGCAGCGGCCGTGCATGTCAATCTTCTATTTTCCACTTTGGAGGTGTTTTGTTGACTGGCCACAATTTCTGCCTTCCCTCTCGTCTTTCTCATCGTCGTCCTCGTTCCCCCAGGGGTGGGCGATTCGTCCGTCCATCATGTCCTCACGTCCTCACAGTTCAAGAGGGAACAACATAATAGTGACATGCAGCGCGGCGACTGTTCACATCAATCTTATGGAGGGGGACAAGCAGGAGGAGGAGGAGGAGGAGGAGGAGGTGGAGGAAGAGGAGGAGGAGGAGGAGGAGGAGGAGGAGGACAACGACGACGACGAGATCTGTGATGCCGTGTCGTGTTTTTTTCCTGCGCTCCCGCTCGTTTCGCCTGAGATGTTCTTGGAATTTTGGGCTCCGAGATGCTGTCCGCGAGATGCCTCAGCCTGTTTCGAGTGAGATGTCTTCGCGACTCTGGGCTCCGAGACGCTACTGGCGCGGCGCTCCGGCCGTTTTGCCCGAGACATTCTAGATGCCGAGATGCCGGTCGCGAGGTGCTCGGGCGCGTTTCAGATGGCACATCCTTCCAAGCTGGAGTGCCGAGACAGCTCTCGCGAAGCGCTCCGGCCCGTTCCGCGTGAGACATCCGCGCAGCTGCTCGGAGTGTGGGCGCGAGGCGCTCTGGCCCATTTCGCTTGAGACATCCTCGCAGTTCCAGGCTCCGAGATGCTGGTCGCGAGGCGCGCCAGCCCCGTTTCGCCTGAGACATCCTCGCAACTTTGGGCCCCGAGATGCCGAACGCAAGGCGCCCCAGCCCGTTTCGTATGTGAATAGCCTCGCGGCTTTGAGTTCCGTGAGTGTCATCTTGGAAATCGAGAAATTGGAATACCCAAGAGCTTCTGCAATATCTCAATCCGTTAAGTCCTAAGTCCCAGATTGGGAAATTTAAAGATGAACATTTGAACACCTCAGGGTGTCTTGAATGTTCAATATGGGAAGTGCCATGTTGTAACTTTCCATGCTTTAACGTTTCAACATGGGAATCCCCATTTCCAATGTTTCAATTATTCGATTGCTCAATCTCGCGAGCACGGGATTCAATTTTTCAATTCATGACTTCAGGCTCAATCTGAATCTCGAGATTGACAGTGTAAAATTGGGGCCCCCGAACTCAATCATCGGGCGCCCCCAAGCCTATGCATCGAACAGGACATCGGAGAGAACTTCGGCCACCAGTTCCGCACCTCCCTGGACCGCCTGCGCACGGAGCTGGCCGCCAGCCAGGAGCACCTCGAGGCGCTGGTGGAGCGGGAGGCGCGGGAGCGCACGAGCGAGATCCTCGACGTGAAGCGCGAGATCGACGCGCGCTTCGGAGAGGCGATGACGAGGCTCTTCCAGGACTGCGGGCTCGGCCCCGCGCGTCCAGCGCTCGCGGGTGGCCAGGACGGCCAGCTCTCCGCCGTGCGGGGGCAGCTCGAGGAGCTCCGCGGCCAGCTCGCCCAGAGCGAGAGCAGCAGGGCGGACCTCGACGGATTCGCCAGGCGCGAGCTGGAGTCGGGCAGGGCGATCCGAGAAGCGCAGAGGGTTCAGGTGTCTGGGCTGGAAGCGGCGCTCTCGGACCTGCGGCGGGAGATCTCCGACGCCCAGGAGCGCCAGGCGCTCTCGGTGGAGGACCTGCGCCGGGACCTGGCGACCTTCAAGGAGGAGGCGCACGTGCAGGAGCAGTCGAACGACCAGGTGGCGCAGCTGCACCAGCTCTTCATGCAGAGCGCTGGGGACCTGGGGCGAGGCATCGAGGAGGTCTCCGCCGGAGTGCTGGCCACGGAGCAGAAGCTGCGTCGCGAGACAGACCAGCGCCTCCGCGCCCTGGAGGCGCGCTGCGGCAAGCAGCACACCGAGGTGCTGGAAGCCCTCGCGCGCTCGGGCGAGCAGCTGGCCCAGAGCATCTGCGACGAGGCAGAGAAGCGCGACCAAGAGGCAATCGTCTTGCGGACCCAGCTCGACGCGCTCCACGGCCAAGTGGAGGACCATCGCAGCGCTGGCTCTGCCGAGGGCGCGTCCGCGGCGGCGGCATTGGCAAAGGAGACGGACGCCCTTCGCTGCTTGGTGGAGGTGGCCCAGGGGGACCTGTCGAGGCTGGAGCGGGCTGCCGCAGAGGAGCGCGTGGCCCAGGCCAACATCGCCGCGGAGCTCAAGTGCAACGTGGAGCACCTCGGGAAAAGTCTGGCGAATCGCCTGGAGACGATGGAGGCGGTCCTCCGTTCCCACGTCGGCGAGTGCATCGCCGGCGAGCGGAACCTTCGCGCGCTGGAGGTGGCAGACATCAGGAGCTATGCTGAGGGCATCCTCACGGAGGCCAGCAGGGCGGTGGCCGAGGGCACTGCCAACAGGTTTGCGGACACGCTTTCGGCGAACACGCCCGCGGCCACGAGCACCACTCAGGACCAGGAGCAGGTCTGGAAGGAGCTGGGCATCGCTTCTTTTACACCATCCACCTCTTTCATTTTCCCCCCTCGAGGGCGCGGTTCCAGCCCCCCGACGCTTCATTGGTTCCCCTCGCTCTTTTCGTTTCCCCTCCCACTTGTTCGGTTCGGTGCCCTTCGAACATCTGTCTTCTCACCACCCACCAAACCACTCCGACCCAACCCGAAGGTCCAAACTGACCCTCGGTTTCCGGTGTGGGGTGGGGCGTCGGGGAACGTCGAAAACAACACACGTGGAACCCGTGCCCCTTCCAACCCGAAATTCGGGCCTTAAGGTTGGATTGGGGTGGTCTGGTGCAGGCAGTCCTCCTCCTCCTCCCTGCGCGGGGTGGCCCCTGCTGTGAGCTCCGGGGGCTGGCGCACCTGTGTTGTGGCTCTCCCCCTCAGGGAGAGGTCGGGTCACGACGACGACGACGGACGACGACGACGACGACGACGACGACGACGACGACGTCAATGCAACCACCACGACGTCGTCTCGGAAGTTTTTGGAAGTTTCTGGAAGTCCCGTCGCCGCTGCTGGACGCAGCTCGCAAAACTGGCCAGGATGGATGGGGAGGCGATGCCGCCCTGGCGTCTCGTCGGACCCCGTCCCCGCCCCAGGGTCGACCCCCCCCCCACGAGGGCAAAAATACATGGTTGCACCCCCTGGGAGGGAACAAACAAAAAGGGTGTGAGGGGGGAGAAAAAAGAGTGCACCCCCCGAGGGATGAACAAAGATGGTAGAGAGAAGATAGTCAGGGGTTCCCTGAAGGAGCTTCACCGCCTCAGGGCCTCGGTAGACGCCATCGAAGCGCTCGAGCGGCCCCAGCAGGCGGAGGCGCAAACGGCCGCCTTCATGACCGCCGTCGTGGCGCGGGTGGAGGCGCTCGAGGAGCGCACCGATCAGCAGAAGGTGGCCTCCGTCCGCCTGGATGGCGTGGAGGGCGCGCTGAAGGAGATGGCGCGCGTCTCCGAACTGAGCCAGCTGGACGCCGCGCTGAAGCGGATGGAGCTGGACCTGATGCCGCTGGACTCGCGGCTGGACCACGTGGAGTCCGAGCTTCGCAGGGCCCTGCTGGAGACGTTGCCGCTAATCCCGCGCATGGACGCGGCCGAGTCGGAGGCGGCGCGCTTGGGCCGCGACTCGGCCGCCGCTGGCAGGAGCCTCGCGTCGTTGCTCACGGAGCTGGAAGGCGTCAAGACCGCAGTCGCTGCTGTGAGCAAGGCCCTGGCTGACAAGCCGATGTTCTACCAAGCATCCACTGTGCACTCTTTCGCCCTGGACAACACCGGGACCACCATCGACACCAGCGAGGCGCCCCTCTCGCGGCCAGATGAGCTGAGAACGAGCATCAGCAACATCGTCAAGAAGGTCAACATGACGCTGTCGGCCAGCGCCGCCCCTGGCACGCAGTCCAGTCAGGGTGCGCCTCCGGGGCTCTGCCTGCGCAGGGCCGCGGATCCCAGCATGGAGGACTCGGGGGCCAGCTTTCGAAAGGCGCTGCAGGCCGTCCGGGACCTGCGCTGCAAGCGGCCGCCCGACGCGAGCTCGAGCCACACCCAAGAGGGGGGCGCCGCCGGCCTGTCGACGCCCAGGACCTGGACTGCCAGGACGGAGGTGCTCAAGCCCGCCGCGACGACACCGACGAGTGCGACCTGGCAGGCTCAGGCGGGTGGTCAAGGGGGGGTGGGTGACCTCAATGGCGGGCGAAGAAGAGGGTCCGAAAGGGGCCCTTTTCTTCACCCCCCATTTGGGTCATCACCCATGGCCATTAAGTCCATTAGGTCGGGCGTGTCTCTCTACAGGAGGAATATTTAAAAACAGTCCAGCAATCATCTGGGGACGGTTTTTGGAGTATCCTTGTGTATGTTTTGATTGCTGTTGGACAATACTCAATTCTTCGCCCAAAATCCCCCTGTAGGGGGACACGCCCGACCTAGCGTTACTGAGGGCAAGGTTCACATTTTGTATCCGTGTCCAGTGCGTCTTGGACTAGTGGAAGGAGCACCACGAAGCCGATGCGCACTGGATGTGGATAAACATCGAGCCTCCAGGGGGCATTTTTTCTCCATATCCAGCGCGCCTCGGGTCTCTTGGGGAAGGGAGCCCGAAACTCCGCATCCATTGCTGCGCCCGTTTCAGCGCACCCCTGTCGAGGATCGTGACCCCGCAGGGAGCTCCACCCCTGTCGCGGATCGTGGCCCCGCATGCTTCTTGGACTTTTTTGGTCCTCGAGGGCGCCGAGTTGTTCGCGCTTCGCGGTTTTGCTCCAATTCCTCCTCATCCTCCTTTTCTCCCCCAGGGGGGCGTCGCCAGAGCGCGAGCTCATGTTCGCGCCTCGCGCAGCGCGAGGCGCGAGATTCACTTCTCCTCCTCCTCCTCCTCCTCCTCCTCCTCCTCCTCCTCCTCCTCCTCCTCCTCCTCCCCTGTCGCGGATCCTGCCCCCGTCGCAGAGCGAAAGCGCACCCGAGAGAGGGTGCCCGCACGCCGCACCCCCGTCGCGCACCCGTGGCCCCACGGAGAGAGCTCTCGCGGCCCCGGCGGCGGGGCTCCCAACACGCAGGCCCCCCGCGCCCGCTGCAGCGCGCGCCCCCCTCGCGCAGTGACCGTGGTTCCACAAAGGGGGCCCCGGGGCTTCCGCTCGAGGAGTCCACTGCGCAGAGGCTCTGGGCAGAAGGCACAGGGCTGGACCTATGGACGGTGTTCCCGGCGATCTCTCGTGGGCCCTTCTCGTCTCGACTTCGTCTTGCGGGGTAGAGGCGGGTTCGAGGCAAAAGCGAGAGCACAGGGCTGGACCTATAGACAGTGTTCTCGGCGATCCCGTGGGCCCTTCTCTCGTTTCGGCCTCGTGTCCTGCGGGGCAACAACAAGGGCGGGCTCGAGGCAAGAGCGCGAGGGACACCGAGGCCAAAACGAGAACGAACAACGCCGTGTTCAGGTGCGGCCCTGCAGCAGGCCCTGCCCGCAACTGCCGCCCGCCCGAGATCGGGGGTCGCCAAAGGTGCCCCTGGCCCCAGGTACCCCCAGCTGCTCGCTCAATTTTGGACCCCCTGGGGCCCTCCAGGCCTCGCGAGGGCTGCTCTGGAGGCCTCCTCCTCCTCCTCCTCCTCCTCCTCCTTTTCCTCCTCCTCCTCCTCCTCCTCCTCCTCCTCCTCCTCCTCCTCCCTGGGGGCCTCCTTGGACATCCTCGGGGCACCTTGGGCCAGGGGCACTTCTGGCAGCACCCGACCCCGAGAGGCCTCCGACGGGCGCCCCTCGCCGCCGCCGGCGGCGAGCCCGCGGGCTGCGCCTCCTCCTCGGGGGGCACGCCGGCGGCGAGCCCCGCCGGCGGCCCCGCCGGCGCGGGCGGCCCGGGCGGGCGCCCCGCCGGGAGCCCCGCCGCCGCGGCCGCGGCCAGGAGCTCGGAGGCACAACCTGACAATCGGTGGTTCAGTGTAGGCACCCAGAGTCGGGCCGAACGAAAGGGGGGAGAGGGAAAGGGGGGGGGTTACGAGATTTGCTGCATGCAGCTGGTTTCGGCCCCACCGAGGGGCCCGTTCCTTGATACATCGTCGCCTCCGGCGCCGGGAGGCGCCGGGAAAATCAGCTATACGTGAGCTGATTCTCACCCCCCCCCTTTGCTATCCCCCCCTTTCGCCTGACCCGATAGGCACCCAGAGATCCAACGTATAGAAAAACATCAAACAGCGGAGGCTTCTCGCACGTCTCGGCCCCCTATAAGGGCCCTCGCCGGGCCTCGGGGCCGTCGAGGAAGGATGCGGGACGGAGAGCCGGTCCTGGCGGATGTGTCGAGGCTTCTGGGGACCGCGCATGTATTGAAAAAATCACGACGTCGGATCTCTGGGTGCCCATCGGTCGTCCCAGACATGCTCGCGTCGGTAAAGAAAATTTTGGGCGGGCGGTCTGTGGCCAATATTTCGGCCTCGGGGGGGCCCTCGCCGTGCCCCAGGGCCGTCAGAAAACGACTCGTGACAAACAACAGGCCCCGGGGAAAGGGTCTTCAGGAAGGGAAAAACACACAGACACAATTCATTAATCGTCGATTCCCAAGAAAATAGGGGAAAATATGGGAAGTGGGTGGGGGAAGACGAAAACCCCCAAAATATAGGAAAGTATGGGGGATATTTTTGTTTGTGTGTATTTATTTGTGTGTTCTGGGGCCCCTTCAAAACAACCGGCCCCGGGGAAAGGGTCTGGACTTCTGGGGAAGCCGTCCTGAAAAATTCAGGACGTCTCGCACATCTGGGTTTGGATTCCCAGGTTCCAATCTGCTTTAAGCGCCTTCCTCCTTCAGTGATCGAGCGGCTTCCCCTTCTCCGCCCTCTTCAAGGGGCAGACGGGACCCGATCTAATTTCCACGCCTTCCTATTCCACGTTTCTACCTACTTCTTCCGACCAATGGGTATCGTGTTGGGAGGATGGAGTTGGGAGAAAATCGGAAACTGAACATATGCATCGAAAAAGACAAAACACCATAAACAGAAACTTTTGGCGCTGCGCACGGATTTGTGGGATCCGCGTTGGACCCCCCTCCCTCGCGCGCGGAGCGCGCCAGGGGCGGCGCCGGAGGCGCCGCCTGGCGGGGGCCCAGACGCGCTGCCGGGATCAACGAAAAATGTATACACCAGGATCCCGGATACATCAGGATCCGCTGTCCCGTTTGCATCGGGGGTGGACAGAACCCCCAACAGTGACACGTCGATTAGTGACTTGTCCGTTCTCGGTTCTCGAGAGGGCGTCGTGGCCGTTATTTTCCAGGCCTGCGCCCGCCAGGTTGGGGCCTCAGGTCGTTTTCACTAAACCACGTTTTACTAAAGGGTGGTCTGTCCATCCCCGATTGCAACTTTCAGTGCATGGCCGGAAAGTCGTCGGTGTGCAGAGTGCGGTTCCACAGGAAATGATCGCATCCCAATATTACCGCGTATGTGGAAGGTTCTAGGCCTCCTAGATGGCCGGAAGGTCGTCGGTGTGTAGAGGGCGGTTCCACAGGAACTGATCGCATCACCAATGTTACCGCGTAGGTGGAAGGTCCTCTAGGCCTCCTAGATGGGGCCCGAGTAGATGGGGCCGGATCGCGCCGCATCGCTGATGCATCGACGATGCGGCTCGGTGTGGAGCTCGAGTTTCCCCACGCCCACGTCGCGGATGCGTCGCCGATGCATCGCCGATGCATCGGCGATGCATCGGCGATGCAGTGACGATGCGGTGCGATCCTCTGACCCCATCTACTCGGACCCCAGCTAGGAGGCCTCTTAAAGGAGCTTCTTACACAGTCGTACCCTGTATCTTCCCAACCACTTCCTCGCAGCACGATGCAGTCGGGGCCCTGAAGAAGGAACCCTTTTTCGTTGGGGAGGGGCTCCGCGTTCCTTAGTGTGTCGCAGCTTGCCTCAGGTTTTCCTGATGTTTTCGATCGCAAATCGAAGTTGAACCTATGGAAAAAAGGGGCCTCGTTCCTTATTTAGGGTTCCTTAGGTCAACGCCCCGGCTGTAATTGTTTCTCTCAGGAGCGGCACCCCCGGCTTCGGCGGGGGCGAGGCCGCGGCCTCGACGCCGAGCCAGCAGCCGGCCCCCTCCTGTCCGGCGGCGGAGGCACCCGCCGCGCTGCCCCGCCCCGGCGGTGTACTACACCAGCACCACGTGGCTCTCGGCGTCGTCCCGCGGCCCAGGGTGGTCTCCCGAATGCCGTGCGAGCCGCCCCCGCTGGCGCAGCCGCTGCGCCTGCAGCAGGTCGCCCGGCAGCCGCGGCCGGGGCACCTGCAGCCGCAGGCGAGCTCCGACCCGCAGCTGCTGCCACGGTCGCAGCCATGAGGGGCGGTCGGCTTCTCGGGGCGCGCGGGGAAGAGCGCGCGGGCTGCTCTGCGGGCGCATCCGCGAGTGCCCTGCAGCCCGCCCATGGTGTGACACCGGCTCTAGGCGCCCCGGCGGCCCTGACGAAATTACGGTGGCGCTTCACTGGGCACACCTCGGCGATGCGAGCGACGCGGACCTGGGTGGTTGCGGTGCAGGGTGTGATCGTGGGTTACCTTCATTGTTTTGATTCTATTGTGCACTCTTGTTTGGGAATTGCGTTCCTCATCATCGAGCCGGCTTGGCGACTTTTCGTCTCCTGGTGTGCAGCCGAGGGGGTGGAGGAGGAGGAGTCCAGTGGCGCTCGGTCAAAGCTTGCATGTTTGCTGCTGGCGAGCGGCTCGTCAAATGCAGCCACGCCAGGAATGGCCGCCCGCAGCCTGGTCCAGCGTGCCACGTGAATTGGTATACTGGAATGACGCACCAGTGTCCGATGAAATGTTCCTCTCTTTCCTCCTCTCTTCCTCTGCCCTCCTTCCTCCGCTCTCTCGTGCTGAATGGGATGTGCTCGTCCTGGTTTTGCTGGCTGTGTAGAATGCAAATGCTCTGCTGATGTGTACGAATTACCCCACCGTGCCTCGACACTGGGGCTGAAGAAATTGCCTGCGAGGAGCGAAGGTGCTGCTGTTTAAGGGGGGAGGTTTCGCCCAGATGCTGCTTTGTTTTTTCTTGGAATTCGGCACGCAGTGCAAAGGCTGCGCTGAGGTCTACTAATTAGCCCACTGTGCCTTGACACTGGGGCAAGGCTTTGCCTGCGAGGAGCGGTTGTGCTACTGCCAGTTTCTGCACTTTAGTGGGCCTTCCTGTTTTTTTGGGGGGGGGAGCTCTGCCAGCTCTGGTCGTAGGTGCTGCGGCCGTCCGCAAGATTCTGGCCTGCACACTTGGCGTACAAGCAACAGATGTCATACATTTTTTGCAGGTGATAACACGTAGTGCATTCCTCGAGTGGTTACTATCCATATATCCCTTGCCGCTGCAACGACTCGCCCGCCAGCGTAGTTCAATCCTACAGATGAGCGGGTAATGCGCTCAGACGTTGGAAAACTGTCGCGATTGCTCGGGCCGGATCACCCAAAAAGATGACCGCAGAACATCTGGCACCTTCAAATCACATGTCACCGCGCCGCTTGTTTCGACGTGCGGCCTGACGTCTTGGGGAGGGGGCCTCGGCCAGCAGGACACACGCCGCCTCGGACGCGGCGGGTTCGCCGTGGGTTTGCCGCGGTGCCGGCGTCGTTTCCCTGGGGCGCGGGGCGCAGGGCTTTCCGTGGGTTGGCCGTGGTGTCGGCATCGTCCATTTGGGCGCGCTCAGAACAAATGGCGCGGCGACACATTCCTTGACATCTTGCGAGCTCGTCGACTCCAGATGACCCCGTCCCTGCAGCCCTGCCTGTGCTGGGGGCGTGCGCGAGGGGGGCGGCCCGGGGGGGGCGGCCCTGTAAGGCACGCAGGGGGGTGGTCGTAAGGCGGGGGCCTCCGCAGAAGGGCCCAGAGGCTTCCCAGACGGCCTCTGAGAAGCCGTGATGGGCTTCTCCTCAGAGGCCGACGCTGTATGTGCACGTGCGCGGTTAGCTTCCGCTGGAGTGCGTCTGAGCGCGGACGCTCGTGCACGCAAGACCGCGGAGGGCGTGCATGTACATGCGGTGGGGGCGTTCGTTAAGGAACGTGCACAGGAGGCTGCGGACCCTGGAGGGTTCCTTATCCAGTGGGGGCGGCGGTGATACCCATGGCCGACCCACGATTGGAGTTCCACTGGCCTCCAGACCCTGGATTCCTTATCGCAGGTTTCCTTGTTGGCGGGCTTTTTTACCCGTTTCAGGGACCACGCTTTGGGGCGTGACAGCGAGGCGATTGCGAGCAGAGCTGAGTGTCGAGACTCCTCTTCACCGGCAGGCGAGCTCAGACATCGTGAGACGGCCCTCTAAGCTGCCTAAACAAAACAACACATTCCGTGCCCAATGCCATCACCGTACAGTGCCGTTTTTAATACATGCTCCGCGTGCGGATCATGAGTTACAAATGTAGGGATTCAGTATCAAAAACAATGATGAGCTCATGCGTACATTTATCCATATTATTCACGTATGAGAACTCCGATATTTCCAAACATCCCATGTATTAAAACCTGCCCTGTATGTCTCTCCTCCCGTCCATCAGAAGCTGCCCGCCCTCTCAAATGGCCCCGCCCCGCCCTCTCGGGAGGCCGCCCCCCTCGCGCCCCCCCCCCCCGTGGCGAAGCGCCGCCACCCGTGTGCTTGCCGTCCCGCGCCCCCGTGCGTGGCCCCCGCTGTCGCTCGGACGTGTGCACTTTCTCTCGGCGGGGATTGTTGAGGAGCACCTCCGCGGGGAGGGGGAGGAGGGGGAGGAGGGGGAGGAGGGGGAGGAGGGGGAGGAGGGGGAGGAGGAGGAGGAGAGGAGGAGGAGGAGGAGGAGGAGGAGGAGGAGGAGGAGGTGATCCAGGGTGCTCCTCAACAATAGGGGAACAAAAAGTTGCATAAACATAACAACTCGGAGGTCCGCGCGGATTTCTCGGATCGGCGCTGGACCCCCCTCCCTGGCGCGCGGAGCGCGCTAGGGGCGGCGCCGGAGGTGACACCGGGGGGCCCCAGCGCCGATTCGAGAAATCCGCGCGGACCCCCGAGTTTGTATGTTTATGCCACTTTTTGTTCCCCTATTGCTGAGGAGCACCCTGGCTCACCCTGCGGAAGAGCCACGCGCGAAGCCGAACAACAGCACAGGGAATGGACGTCCGAGCGACGGTTTGGGGCCGCGCCTGCGCCCCTGCAGGCCCACGCGCGCAGCTCCGGCCAGCGCCGCCGAGCTCCTTGGCGGGCGGCGGGCTCGCGTGGCGCCCGCCGCCGCAGAGGCTTGGCATCGCTCGGCCGTGTGCGTTTTGTCCTCGGCGAGGACCATGGGGGAGCATCCTGGACGACTCAGCGAAAAAAACACGCACGGAATCGAAAAGTACACGAGGAAGGGACGTCCAAGCGATGGCAAGGAGAAGCAGCCCCTCCAGGTACGGGGCCACCTGCTGGGACAACGGCGCCCAGCACCTGACCACGTTCGCACACCCCGGCGACCGCGACTACAGGCCGGCGCCAGCGGGGGGCAGAATCTGCCCGCCCCCAGTCTCTGGGCCTCGAGGGATCAGTTCGAGCAGCATGTGGGGATCGGTGCGAGTTTCGTTTCTGGCAAGATAGCTGCGTACACGGTTTATCACAAGCGGGCGAGACGGGTATGCAGCAATGCTTCCCCACCTCCGCAGCAATTTGCCTCAGAGGCCCCACAGAGGGCCGTGCTAGTAGCACACTGCGCACTGTGCGCCAGCGTGTAGTCTAGGAAAGAAGTCGAGGAGGGTTGGGTCGCTAGGATTAGTGCCTTCGACCCCTGGTGGCCTCTGGGGGGCCTCCCAGCGGCCTCTCTGCGGCCTGTTGGCCCGTCTGACGCTTTCGGAGGCCATCGGGGGGGCCTCCTCCGGGGCGTCTTGAGGTTCTCCTGGAAAGCTTTCGGGATGCCTTGAAGGTCTCTTGGGCCGTCTTCGGGCCCTCTTGCGGCTGTCTTGGGGCCTCTTGGGCCGTCTTGTGGCCCTCTTGGTCCATCTTGGAGGCCTCTTGAGACATCGGGGGCTATCGGGAGTCCGAAAGGGCGGGAACGCAAATATCATTGAAACATGTGTGGTGCATCCTTGATCTTGGCTTTTCGGGCCTTTCGGTGCCCTCTTGGGCTGTATGGAGGGCTTGCTGGGCTGTCTCAGGGCTCTCCTGGCCCGTCTGATTGACGCCTTCGGAGACCGTCTTGGGGGCCTCTTTGGGCCCCAAGGCGGCCCTCTTGGAGCGCTTTCGGACCATCTCGGAGGTCCCTTCGACTGGCGTGTGGCCGTCTCGGGGCCCTCTTGGCCCGTCTTGCAAGCCTCCGGGGCCGTCTCGGGCTGTTGGAGCCCCGAATAGGCCGGAACGCAATACATAAGGAGCACCAGTGAATTTGGCTTCTCCAGGCCCTCCTAAAAGATCTCTTGGAGCTCTCTCGCAACGTATCCTGCGTCTCTGGGGCCGTCTTGGCCATCTGGGGTTGTCTTCGAGGCATCTTGGTCCAGCTTGAAGGCATTTGAGGTCATCTTATATCACCTTGGCTAGTTGTCTTGGAGTGTTCTGGAGGTTAAACAGAAGCTGGAGAGCAAATACGGAGGGGGCGGTGTTCAAGGGACACGTGCGACGATGGGGAGGGGGGGACGGCCCAGAGAACCACTGAAGAGTCCACACCAGAAAACAAAAAAACATTCCTACCCAGCCCAAGCTGCCGCTGGCACGGTGGCAGACTACTGGCGTGAAGCTCTCGCAATTTTCGCGCTCTCAGTGTTGTTGCCTGGCGTTCCTCGCACTCTCCCGCGCCACATCGATCCCAATGTGGTCGCTCGCAGCTCAGAACAGCTTCGGGGTGTATGTCTGTCAATGGGCACACGAGCTCGGCGCACAGTAGCCTCTGGATATCGACGCCGACAGTTGAGTGCATCGTGACGGCCGCCTGTGTTGGACGACGGTTTCAGAAGCACGCGTGCGTGGTATGCACCTTGGACTCAGCGCACTCTCGCGGGCGCCGAAGGAGTCTTATCCGAGACAGCGTGCAGTTCCGGATGGGTGGGTGCGTGGTTGAGTGGTGGTGGCGGCATGCGGTGGGGAGATTGGGGCGCCGTGGTGTTTGTGTGTATGTGCGTCTCAGCAACGGCCAGCCGCACCAGCCTCTCCTGCCGAAGCTGTTCGTGCTGTGAGTGCCCTCCCTCCTCCGCCCTTGCTCCGCGGCCTACCTCTGTCCTGCCTCTCTTTCTCTCTCTCGTGCTGTCGGACGATTAGGACGTTTCGCCCCAGCTACCAGAGCGCGCGTGCGGCTTGCCTCTGCCGCGCCGCGGCGGAAAAAAGTGTGCGTGCGTGCGGAGGTTTACCCAGGCGCCCCATCGGGTCGCGCCCCCTTCCCGTCCGTAGGTGTGTCGGCTGCCCCCCCCCCCCCCCCCGGGTCCCCGGGAGACTTTCGCGCAGGCTTGTTACCGGGCAGTGGCCGTTGTGACGCGCTCGCAGATGCGCTTTCTCTTGATCTGGGGAGTGGTCGAAGTAGTGGAAGAGGAGGGAGAGGGGGCCAGAGCAGAAATGCGGGTGGAGCTCGTGTGGGCTGGGTTCCTTCGCAGAAGACATGGGTCGGGTGATCTCGAGGTCCTCTCCCTTCTGCCCCCCTTCGCCCCCCCCCCTTCGCCCGTCCTCTACGTTTTCTACGTCCTCCGCCTGTATCTCAAGATCTGGATGTGGGAGCTCCTCTCGTGTCTCCCCAGACTCTGCGCGAAGGGTGCGCGCCCCGCAGAGTTGTTGTCTGTAGCCAGGATTGCAACAGTTGGTGGTCCATGTGGTCTTTCCCCCCTGAGCTGCTTGTCTGTAGTGGTCCTCTAGGACATGTTTCCGAGAAGCCGAACGCGGGGATCGCCGAGCCTGCGACTGGTGGAGCGTCACTGTCTCCCGTGGCCTCCCGTTGTCCCTCTGCGTCACCCCTAGGACTCTCCGTTTATGCCCCTCTTTCTGCCACGCCGGAAAGCTCTTCAGGGCCTTCTGCCGCGAGGGTGTGATACTCCAGTCAGGACGTCTCCGGCCGTTCAAAACGGTGCTCCAGCTGCAGCGGTGACCCCATTTCTGGATCGGCGCTCTGGTCCCGTCGTTCAGACTGGCGCTTTCGCCGCAGCGCAGCAACGCTTCTGGATGTTTAGTAGTAGTAGTAGTAGTAGTAGTAGTAGTAGTAGTAGTAGTAGTAGTAGTCGTAGTAGTAGTAGTAGTAGTAGTAGTAGTAGTAGTAGTAGTAGTAGTAGTAGTAGTAGTAGTAGTAGTAGTAGTAGTAGTAGTAGTAGTAGTAGTAGTAGTAGTAGTAGTAGTAGTAGTAGTAGTAGTAGTAGTAGTAGTAGTAGTAGTAGTAGTAGTAGTAGTAGTTTGGTCCTTCTCGCTCCCCTCCATCCTCGTTCAACCTCTGCCGCTCGTGCTCCTGGCCCTCCTGCTCCTCCGCTGCTGTTCCTGCTGCTGCTGTTTCTCGTCGTCCTCGTCCTCGTCCTTCCTTTCTCGTCCTCCTCGTCCTCCTCGTCCTCCTCGTCCTCCTCGTCCTTCCTTTCTCGTCCTCCTCGTTCCTGCTGCTGCTGTTTCTCGTCCTCCTCGTCCTCGTCCTTCCTTTCTTTCCGGCTCCCGCTGGCGCTACTGCGCGCGTGCATGGCGTAGTGTCATGCCGTAGCGCCGCTGGCTCAGGACGACCCCTGGTGCCTGTACCGAGCGGCCTGCAGGGCTCGTCGTCAACGAAAATGCTCACCTCTACAGCATATAGTGCTGACACGAAGGGACAATGGTAGAGAAGAGGGACAAGGACACTCACAAAGTGTGCAGGCAAAGCATGTCAACTAGCCAACCTAGTGCAGTCGCCTCGGCATGGAAGGCTGAGCTCACACCGCTGAAACTCCGTGCAGCACGTCCCGCTTCGACTGTCTCGGAGCCCTCGATGCCATACTGTATGGCATACTGTATGGCCCATACACTACTATGCCCATCGCAGCAGATCCACATTTGCGTAACCCTCCGTCCATGCAAACCTTTCGCCTGCGGTGTTGTAACGCTCAGTGTCGGAAACTGTCTGGGGCGATGTGAAAAGCTCAACCGATGTCCCTTGTGGAATGTACCCTGTAGTCCGTTGCGTTGTTAAACTTCGGGGCGACAACATAACGAAAGAGTCAAGGTCGCGTCACGGCTTCCACTCCGAACGCCACAGGCGTTCGACCTGGCAACAGATTTGTCTGAAGATCGTTTACAGATTGGGAGCGTCTAAGACGGCTTCACCGTTTACCACTTGAGCTACCCCCGAGCAGTTGATCTGAAACTAAACCTGTGTGTAAGAACCATCCCACTTGTCGTCGGCGGGGCGAAACGGAAGATCGAGGATTTCACTTGGAAGTTTGACTCGGTCGTGCTCGAATGGCCGCTGTGGAGAATGCCCTGGTGCGTCTGGAAAGCCAGCGCCACGTGCATCCCAGACGAAAACAGCAGAGCATTTCGTCCACTCAGCACGGGAAGATGTGCAGGTTCGCATTGCATGCAACTCTGTCCCCAGTTTGCTGCAGAAAGGCTCGTCCCAAGCTAGTTGGTGCCCCCGACGACTATGAACCATGGTCTCTGCGTGTTGTTCACGATGAGAATCCAGAGTCGATGCGGTATCCCATCATAGTTGATTCCTACATTCTCTGGCCCATAGCAGCGGATTTTGTTGACAAGGGAGGCCCGTTATGAATTCTTCCCAAGCGGCCGTGTAAGCAGCACGCAAGATGCGGTGCGTGCAATGCTAGCGTAAAGATACGACTCGCGCGTATTCGCGCAGCAGATCGTCGGTTGAACTCCATGGCCCCTTGCGCCCGGCGACGGCGAAGCCGAAGAATTTGGCGGACCCGCTTGAGCTCCCATCGTTGGATCCCTTAGCGTAGAGTTGCAGTTGCGTCCCAAGAGCAACATCCGAACATAGCCGACGTGCCCGGAAAGTTCTCCCCAGCCCGGAGTCGTGGCAGGACAGGGCCTGGAATTTGAATTAGATGTGTCTGCTTGAGGAATACGCGGTTCGCAACAGCTTGGCGGACCGCCCATCTTTGGCGAACACTTTGTCATAAGTAATAATCGTATCGACGATGCCGTAAACATGGCGGGCATGTTTTTTGTTTGATCACATTACATATCTAAAGTCGCATGCGTATCATGCCTGCTGGCAATTTCTCCAACAACCTCGCTTCCCAATACAGGTCATGCGCTAATGCAGGTCATGCGGTCTCATTCTCATCCTTTCTCATCCTCCCCCATCTTCATCATCTTCTTACTGTTCATACTCCTTATTATCTACCGCCACTTCCTCCTTTAATGTATGCAGGTTCTCGTTCTGATTGGGTATCGCATGGTTGGGATCATTTTGGCTATCCAGGTCCACAAGGACACCCGTCGGCGGATAGAAGGCAAATCCGAGAAACGGGAAGGGCTAGGTGAGAGGGGTTTGGTGTCAGATGTGGCGCGAGCGCGATTCGTTTGCCATACGCATCCTCTA